TTAAAGGTTTTGTGCAGAACCATCCACACTTTTTGAAGGGCCGAATACAGAGACCTGGTGTACTACGTGCCACAAGGTCCCCAAACGACTCTACGCAGGTTTTGAATTCAGAGTTGTCCTTCTTCTAGACCAGTTGCCATCCAAGGCTATAGAACCCAGCCTGTCCTGCTATTTACCCATAGCTGGTGGGAGAAGAAGAGGATTCACACCTTTCCCAAGGGTATTAGCACGCAAGTGAATGTAATGGATTCGACTATAATTCGAACGCAGCTATCTGAATACTCAATCCAATATATATATATATATATATATATATATATATATATATATATATGTGTGTGTGTGTGTGTGTGTGTGTGTGTGTGTGTGTGTGTGTATATGTCGGTGCGGAACATTAATTGTAATGTCGTGGTTAACGTGTTGATTCCCCTAAATACTCTTGAGTGAATTCTTTCCTCACCGAGGTCTCTAGAAATGCAGTTTTACGCTTATGTTGGCCTCATACAAACAATATGTTCACACACAATTTATACGACAAATCCGTTAAAGTTCTGGTCATCCCGTACGTTATTGATCAAGTAAAAAATCTACACGAATCAGAATTTCATTACATGAAGTACAGTTGGTAAAGAAGATTAGTTCTAAAAATGCTTATCTACTACAAAATATTTGCAGAGCTATAAAATTTATGTTTTGTAATGGGGATCAGTATCGCCATTGATTGCAGACACAGAACGTAAACAGCGGGAATTCCCAGACAATGTAGTAAAGGAAAGCGAGAAAAAAGGAAAGCGAGAAAAAAGGAAAACGAGAAAAAAGGAAAAACCTTCAATTCTAGAAAAACAGAAGCAACAAAATCCATCCAAGACGTAAAACACGAATTGGAGAAGCCATGATCAAAGAAGTGCAGATATTATAAATATATGTGAAGTGTTTTGGCGGAAGAATGAAAATGCGACACCGAAATTCGGAGGTGTAATAGAATAGAAAATATGCCTTCACAAAGCTAAACAAAGTATTAAGAAACAGGAAAATTTCGTTAGAAAGAAATAAAAGAATACTCATTTGCTATGTAATATAAATCCTCCTATATGCCAGTGAATACTAGACAATCTCCTCACAGATGATGACTTGAGGCAGCAGAGATCTGGTCGTACAGTAGGATGTTGAGAATAACTTCGACGGCGTGTGTTTGGTTTGATTTCGTTTAGTGGCATATCAACCTCTATGGGATATTTAATGCCGAAATCTATATATTTTGAACACAGTTTTATTGGCTTCAACTACAGATTTATTGTTGGTCATTTTGCTATAAAATTGACTTTGGCTCTAAAAATGTATTGTTAGTAATTCTACTATAAATGTGTATCGTTGATAATTTGTTTTCTTTTATATAATAATATATTTCTGGTGTTTTGCTATAAAAATGTATCTTTATACTTTCATAGCGTTTGAAGAAACATAAAAGGAACGAAGAAATTTTAAGGAAAATGGAAACAAAAAGATGAGATATATGATGAATGAAAAAGGCTTGGGAAATTTGACACTCAGGGGGACACATCGAAAGTGAGAGGGGCAGAGGAAAAAGGGAGAATCCTACCTAACGAGCACGTGTAAATATAGGAATAGGGAGTGGGCGGGAATAGGGAGTGGGCGGGATAGCAAAAAGATAAACACTACTAAGAGCGAAAAAGCATAGGCAGTTGTGGAGAGTCATGATCACCCATGTCCAGAAGGGATAAGGTACATAGAAGAATAAGAATGAGTCAGTGGGAAATGAAATAAGACAGATGAAGGTAAATGCCTTCGTTCGATGTAGAAAATATGAATGGAGTTGTAGGTTTATACCTAATGTATAGAATTACATCTTAAGGCGGATGATTTGGTAATACATAATAAGATCTATTTGTAAATGGAAATTGACCTAAAGCTGTTATTTTCTAAACCTAAATACTGAGACCATCGTAAGTTATTTATCTTTATTGCAAGTAGCAAATAAATAAAATACATTTCAGAGGCAAAAGGATTTTATGTATTTTATTTTATTGTTGATAGATTCTTGAAATATTCTATAAACATGGGCCGATATCTTTTCCATATGGATATCATAAAACTTTGTAATCAGTAGTTAAATTGTTGTAATAGGTGGTTAAATGTTTTTAATCAATAGTTAACATCTTATCATCAGTGGTTAAATTATTGTAACTAGTGATTAAATCTTATAATTAGTGGTTAAATTCTTGTAATCAGTTGTTAAAGCTTTGTAATCTGTGGTTAAATTCTTGTAGTCAGTGGTTAAATCTTGTAATTATTGGTTAAATTCTTGTAATTATTGTTTAAATTCTTGTAATCAGTGGTAAATTCTTAAATATTACATTAATATTTACTCATTCTACTTAAAAAAGCCGATTTTGTTTACAACTTAGAAAAGTCACATGGACCATGTTTGAAAAATGATGGATGTAGAGTCTAGATGAGCAAACTTACACAAGGACAATATCTCAGCTCTTTATATTGTCCTTTCTTGTCAGTTATCTTCATAGAAGTAATAATTGTCTATTGATATGTATTATACAAAAAAAAAATTGGATCTGACAAAATGATTATGCATTTAATTGTTAGCTTTTCAGTTTGCCATATTCGTCCTTGTTCTCTCGTCTCGTCTTTTTCCTTTTAACTTGATTGATGTCCAAGAATAAGAACCAACAAAAGTAGGCAATTTCACTAAAAAGGTTCTTTATCGTTTCTTGTATTGTCTATAAGTATATTGTGTAATTGACACAGTTTTAAATATTTCCCATCACTTACTACATGAAAAAATCAGCTTCTTTTCATCTTTAACTCCTAGAAGAAAACAAAATGTGTGTTCTGAATTTATTTAAACTTCCTTTTTCTACTAGTTCGTGCATATTTTATAATATGAACCAAAGGCCTCATTTGAAAGTAAACTAACAAAGAACAAACCTTTTCTTTTGTTTATTGAAATCGTCGATAAAATCTG